TTTTATTATATATATATATATATATATATATATATATATATATATATGCCCCCAATAAAAATATATCATGCATAATAGTACATTACTATGGTAATATTTAATATTTCAGAATCAGGAAATTACCATGGTATTATCATCTGATATGTTTTTTCTTTCTTGTCCAGTGGACAAAAGAGGAAAAGTTAATATCATATCACATGCAGGCAGTGTTGATGATACTGCAGAATTATTGTGATTTCTGTAGATGTCTGTGTTTTTCATCAGAATCAGATTTGCACACCCTCATGTGTTTAGCGTTCAGTAAGCGCAGATTGTGTTATATTTTGCGACCGGCCCGTGATGATATCAGGACTTTTGGCCTTGTTAAGCACTGGACCGTCTCTGGAGCTCCTGCTGCGTCTTCAGCTCTGGCACAGACACAAGATCCTCTATGCACAATATGAGGAGGAGGAGAACATGAGAGGAGCAGCGCAGTGCCACAGGGCTGCCTGATGTCAGCGTTCATGTAATCTGAGCGCGTGGCTTTAATCTGTTGTTTCCTGTGTGATCAGAGAAACACTCACAGGTGCTCCAAACAACAGACGACTCAACATGCAAACTCTGTCCCCTCAGTTCCTGTGAGAAACTGAGGACAATATGGATCTGCACCAACAATTTCCTGATGATTATACACATTTTGACTTTGAATAAAACTTTTAAGCATCTCATTCAAGGTTCAAGGTTTTTTTATTTGTCAATGCCACCATATGTGCAGACATACAGAGGAATCGAAATACCGTTTCTCTTCTCTCTCATCAAGTGTTTACTTTGTCAATGCAATACAGAAGTTTATATATATACACATATACATATATTTCCACAGTGAGTGCTATATAAAACGTATCATGAAATCTGAAACTTTGTTTTGTGTCTTTTAGTTCATGTCTGTGACATCTAATGACAATGTAAATTTCTAACATATTTAAGATTTGCAGTCTCCAACATATTCAGTTCAATTCAATTCAAGTTTATTTGTATAATGTAATGTAATATTAGCGATATGATGGCTGAAATGTCCTTCTGTGTTGTGATAATATTCAATTCAATTCAAGTTTAATTGTATAGCGCTTTTCACGATAGAAATCGTTGCAAAGCAACTTTACAGCAAATTAGGTTTCTACAATATTTAGTGGTAGCATATCAGTGGTGACTGTCAGTTGACATATGGCAGAAATGTACGGAAAAATCAATTAAAGACGTAATCAAACAGACGATGAACACTATTAACAGCAATTATTATATGATGCAATCAAACTTAGAGCAAAATTTGGTAGTTCTGTATGTTGTTTCAGGGTTGGCATCTTGTTGACTACCTTGTTACACTACACAGGTTTCTGTCCAATCAGATGCTTTCTAGATTGATAAAGCTTCTCCTCCTACTTTCTACTCATAATTCATACTAACTAGCAATGGAAAGTAGCAAAACACAACTGTGATATAAACTAAAGCCTATAGGCTTTTTAAAATAAGTCACAACTTTTTGATATACTGCGTTTATTTGGAGACACTACAGGCGAATACTACATGTCTTTAGGAATAAAGTGTTATATAATTCAGTGTGAATGATGTGAATGAACAAACCCCTCAATAAAAGTCTTCAGAATATAGAGGGGAATAAAATGGTAAAGTTTGGTGTATGTAAGTGCTGCTGAAGTGGAGAAAAAACTCTTTAAAGAAATAAGTTGGAAATGAAAGCTACAGGCGCAAATAGATAAAACATTCAAAATACACTTTTAAGTGTTTATTTTATTGCAATTTCTTTCCACTTATCTGAAACACCACATTATGAAAAGACAAATAGCCCAAAATCTGACCAGTGCATAAAATAAACTTTTGCCTGTAGTGTCTTGCCTTAAGAGACGTCATTCTAAAATCAAGAAAAACATAAACCTGTTTTCCCTTTGAATTTGTCTATTAATTAGATAAAACCAGGTTCAAATTCTTGTTTGATTTTGTTGCCATATTAGAGTTTTTCCAGATGGGATTTTGGATTTCTCTTTTTATCACTCCGTAAATCAGAAATACTGTCAACAGCCAGAAAAACTAAATTTTCACCATGTTTTTGGGAATAAAGCGTTATATAATTCAGTGTGAATGATATATGAACAAACCCCTCAGTAAAAACCTTCAGAATATAGATAGGAATAAAACTGTAAGTTTTGGTGTTTGTAAGTGCTGCGGAAGTGGAGATAAAAATTCAAAGCCTTTAAAAATATGCATTTTCGCCATGTTTTTGGAAATAAAATATGATATAAATCAGTGTGAATGATATATGAACAAACCCCTCAGTAAAAACCTTCAGAATGTAGAGAAGAATAAAACTGCAAGTTTTGGTGTTTGTAAGAGCTGGTGAAGTGGAGATAAAATCTCACAACTTTTAAAAAATATACATTTTCGCCATGTTTTTGGAAATAAAATGCTGTATAAATCAGTGTAAATGATATATGAGCAAATCCCTCAGTAAAAACCTTCAGAATATAGAGAGGAATAAAACTGTAAAGTTTGGTGTTTGTAAGAGCTGCTGAAGTGGAGATAAAATCTCACAGCTTTTAAAAAATATGCATTTTCACCATGTTTTTGGAAATAAAGTGTTGTATAAATCAGTGTAAATGATATATGAACAAACCCCTCAGTAAAAACCTTCAGGATATAGAGAGGAATAAAACTGTAAAGTTTGGTGTATGTAAGAGCCGCTGAAGTGGAGGTTAAAACTTAAATATTGTATTGGAATTGAAAATCTACAGGCAAATAGATAAAGTGCAATAAAATTAACACTTAAATTGTGTTTTTTCCACTAGTCTGACAGAAGACATGATATGGAAACAAAACAGACCTCAAAACTGACCAGAGCATGAAAACACACTGGTTTTGCCTGAAGTGTCTGGTCTTAAACGCTGTTGTGAATCTCTGATAATGCTGATGAAGTGTTGTATTTGATGCTTTCTCTCAGACTGACTCTTTGTCTCTGTGTCTCTGGTTTCAGCTGGTGTTTGAGGTGGTGGCGTCTGGTGAACAGGGTCTGCTGGCCGTCAGAGGAATCTCGCGTCAGGGTCATCAGTGCAGTAAGTGTCATGAGGCGTGAACACGCGTGTCACAGGGCTTCACTATCTGCTGCCGCCACACAGAACCGACCGCAGACGCGCTTCCTTTAAAAACAGATTAAAGAACAGAGTCACCAAACACTGCAATCCCACAATCCCCTCTGCTCTTGTGTGTTCCTGTGTGAGCTCGGATGATTACAAATACTCATCACTCACCAAAATATGTTCTAGCCACTTACACAAAGCTGAAAGTGTGTGTGTGTTGATTTGTTTGAGTGTGAGTCACTTTGACCGTTTGGTAGTCACTCATTTTTATTTCGCTACTTTCTTCCATTTCAGCTGATGCCACTGAGGCTGTGTGGGTTAGTTAATGTTAACTAATGCTGCTGTAGGTGATTCATCCTGTCTAACATTTTGAAGGGACGGTTCATCCATCATTTACTCTCCTTCATGTTGTTCTAAACCTCTGTGACTTTCTTCTGTTAATGTTTTTCATGTAATTACAAGAAACTAAAGCTTTAAAAAAAGACACTAAAACCCATCAAAGTATCATGACAGTCACCCATATGACTTGTGCTTTGTATTTCAAAGCTTCTGAAGTCATATGACGCTTTGTGTTAGAAAAATGTATTTTAATATGATTTGTTAATTAATATTAATATATTACTTATTAATTAATATTAATATATGTATTATATGTATATGACCTTTTATTTTTATTTTTTAATTTTTTCGTTATTTTTTTTTATATGTGCTTTTGTAATTTTTATGAATAATTATTATATAATAAATTTCATTTTTATAGCATATTATTGCATATTATATTATATAAAAAATTTATTTTTATTTTTATCCTTTACGTTATAATAAAGCACTTCACTTGAGAACAAGCAAATAACTAATATAACGAGATAAAAATAAAACCCACTTTAGAATGATAATAAAAGACAAAAATGAATGTACATATTTATTTAACGTAAATAATATTTAATGTGAATGCATAACAAAATATGGCAGTTAAAACCAAATAATAATAATAAAAGATAGCATAGTACATAGAAAAAAACTTCTAGTTAAAAGCCAAAGTAAAAGCTACTTAGGAATATTTTTTAAATAAAATATATTGAATATATACAGTATCTATTGGTAATGTGTCCCATAGGTTGAGGCTTGACTGACAAAAAATGTGATATTTTTTTACTTTATTTAACTTAAATTTTTTTTTAAATTTTTTTAATTTTAAATTTTAAAATTTCAAATTTTAGTTTATTCATTTCAGTTTTTAATTTGAGTTATTTTAGTACTTAAACTTATTCTATGTGTTTTTCACTGGTTCCTTAAATGCAGAATCTCCACTGGTGCTTATGTATGGATCAGTTTTCATAAACAGCAGTTGATCATGACGATATGAAGATATGAAGATATGAAGTCATACAGCATCACGATCTTGTAATTAATAATCGTCTCTGAATGTCCTGTATAACGTGGTTCATCAGCTGATAAATGAAAGCACGTTTGGTTTTGAATGATGTTTCTCTGAGCGTCTGACCTTCACTCTTTCACCTGCTCATCCATCTCTCCTCGTCTGTTATTCATCACTCTTAGAGTCGTTCCCTCCATCTATCTTCCCTCGTTCGTTCTCAAACTCCTGTTTCCATGTGAAATCACATTATTTCCAGTTAAATGCATGCAGATCATGAATTCTCTAGTATCAGATCGGTTGAGTTCAGATCCTCAGATTAAGGTCACGACTAATTAAAATCACATGAACTTTCATTAACTCACCTTCACTAGTTATTCTGATTTCTTCCTCTGTTACTTGAATTTGTTTTTTCTCTGTTATGAATCTGATAGACGGTTTCTCATTCAGGCTGATGTGTGTGTGTGTGGCGTTTCTATGACCTTTCCTCACGCTTCTTTCTCAAACTCCTGCTTATACATAAAATTACATTATTTCCAATTAAATGCATCGCATGTGTTTGTGTGTTTATGTGCTCAGCAGTATTTTAGTATTATTTATATCATATTATACTTTTTAGTAAATATTTTCATATTAGTTTAATTACTGGCATTTTAGGTTTCATTTTAATAAAAAAAAAAATTATTTATATAACTTTATTTTAAAATTGATTTAGTTTTAGTTCAGTTTTAGTATTTATTTATTTCCACTTGGTGATCCAGTTAAAGGCATCGCATGCATTTGTGTGTGTGTATGTGCTCACTAGTGTTATTTTATTATTATTATTGTCATATTAAAGTTTTTATTATAATTTTTAATTAGCTTTTATTTTTATATATTCAGTTCTCCTTTTAATTTTAGTTGAATTTTTAGTAATTTTAATATTTTAGGTTTAATTTTAATTTTAAACAATCTATTTTTTTTTATTTTAATTTTTAGGTTTAATTTATTTAATAATTTATTTATATATTACTTATTTATTTATTTTTTATTTTTAGTTCAGTTTTAGTATCTATAATAAATCAATGAAGACAAAAAAAAAATAGCTGCTCAGGCAACATTTCTAATTTCCGTTTGTTTCATCTAAGATTTCTATTTTATTTCATCTCACCTTCCGCTGGTTCTCTCTCAGTTTTTCTGGGTTCTGGGGCTGATGGCTGGTTTCTCATTCAGGCTGATGTGTTTCGTGCCTCTCTGACCTTTCCTCGCGCGTTTTTCTAAGTGCTGCATCTGGAAAACGCTCCTCGCTGCCCTTGAACCGCAGCGGCTGATCCTGTAATATCCTGATGGAAATGTGCTGAGTGAACGTGTGCCGATCCATTTTATGATTGATTCGCTGCAGTTTCACAGGTGAAAGACGTCCGGAGGAGCTTTGCACGTGATTCACCGAGTCGTTTGAGTTGATTCACTGTAATGTTCTCAGTTGTGGCTCACTGATTCTCTGTCTGTCTGTGTGTCTGTCAGTGAACACGCCTCACTTCCTGCACATTAAGAGCGTGGAGGTCAACGCCAGACAGACGGCCACCTTCCAGTGCACTATTAACGGCCAGCCCAAAGACCATGTCAACTACAAGCTCTGGCTCCAGGTAAATTCACTAGAACACAATCAGCAGACTTGTGTGTGTGTATGGGCTCAGCAGTCTTAATTTAGTATTATTTCTTAAGTTATATTTTCAATTGTCATTTTCTTTTCAGTTTATTTTTTTTTTAATTTAAGGTTTTATTTAATTTTATTTTTAAATTTAGTTTTAGTTCAGTTTTTTTTTTTTTCAGTTAGTAAATTTCATTTGGTTTTAGTTCAGTTTTAGTATTTATTTTATTTCCAGTTAGCTTCAAAATTATTTTATTTTATTACAGTTTTAACATAGCAGTTCCACCCATATTATCTCTTGCTTTTTAATTGGCTTTTAAATTTTTCATATAATATTTATATTTGATTTGATTTCAGCTTTGTCATTTTAGTTAATGATAGTAATAATCATTTTGGTCAGTGAACAAACATCTCTGTGACTGACAAGATCTATATTTCCTCTTCATAAACAAAAGCAGCAGAACGTCTGATTGAACAAAAACACACACACACACACACACACTCACTCACACTCACTCACACACACACACTCACACACACACACACACACCCACACTGTTTGCTGATTTTTACTTTATTTAAACTTTGTGTCATTATTTATTTTATTTGACATCAAGGTGTAAGCTTTCTTACTCATTTTGCTAATAAACTTTCTACGTTTCTTATTTATTTGGTTATATATTATACATGTTTACTTAGCCTATTTCCAGTTTTGTATACCTATTTAAACTTTATGTAAGTTATTTGTTATTTTATATTAGGCATAGCCTGCCCTATAGCATGGTGTATTTTTATTCGTTTTGTTAATAAAAGTTCTATGTTTTATGTTTTATGTTTAGGCTAAAGTGAGTTTGACGTTGTATTTTGTTGTTGCATTCAAGCAATTGATGCGAAACTGCCGCTATTTGAAAGTGAAAGTAAAATGCGCACGGTGCTTTTAAGCTATTTAAAAGCGAAGGAAAGCGAGGAAAAGGGGAAATTCAAACAAACTAAAAACGAACAATTGCTTTACGCCGAATTGGCGCTATTTGAAAGTGAAATTAAAATGCGCACGCAGCTTTTACAAGCTATTTAAAAGCGAAGGAAAGCGAGGAAAAGAGGGAACACCCCCGCGGTGATACCGGTATACACACACTGTGTCAACTGCTCTATTGGATATTCTAGATACGTTTGTAAATCCTCCATTGACTTTTCAGAAAGCACAGAATTGTCTTCTGAAATATTAACATACTGAATTAGAGTCAGTCTTCAGAGCTGGATCTATATCTACAGTAAACATTCATTTTGGAGTGAGCTATATTTGGAAATGACAACAAAATAAATGCTGTTTTCAGAGAGAAATCATGTGTGTCGATTAGTCCTCGGCTGTTTAATGCTCTTTACTGCAATCGTTCACTCGGTTGCGCTTGTGTTCTATTCTCAGGGCATCAAAGGACGCGAGGCTCCTATGAAGGACACCAAACCTGTGAACTCCAGACGCTACACAGCCACCTTTGACATCGTCAACAACACCAAAGAAGACTCGGGCCGCTACCGCTGCATCGTGCGCTCTGAGAAAGGAGTCGGAGCGTCCAGTTACGGAGCTCTGGTGGTCAAACGTGAGTTTTCATTACCACTCAATAATTCATAGACAGTGATGGAGAACGATCATAATTCTCTGGAGGTCGTGTAATATCCAGCTTACATTCAGTCGAATGTCTTTATGCACCATATATTTGGCACGCTGATCTCCACAGACCATAATATCAACTAGTTCCTCAGTTCCACAGTGGAAATTAAGTGGCATGAATATAAAAGGGCATATTCCTTCCAATTGTTAATTTTGTCTTTGCAAAGAAAATGAAAAGAAAAAGCAATTACAAAAGAAAAGAAAGTTGCATGAGTTCAGAATGAGTCATTTTGTAGTTTAGTTTGCAGTCAAAGCTCTTTTTGAACAGTAGAGGATGTTTTATTAGGGAAATTAAGATAATTTACCATGTTTCTGTAACACTTTACAGTAAGGTTCCATTAGTTAATGTATTAACTGACATGAACAAACAATGAACAGTACATTTATTACCGTATTTATTCATCTTTGTTAATGTTAGTTAATGAAAACACAGTCGCTCATTGTTAGTTCATGTTAGTTCACAGTGCATTAACTAATATTAACAAGCACAACTTTTGATTTTAATAATGCATTAGTAAATGTTGAAATTAACATTAAGATTAATAAATGCTGTAGAAGTGTTTTTTATTCTTAGTTCATGTTAAATAAAGTTGTTAGTGAACTTTATTGTAAAGTGTTACCAGTGTTTCTTACTGGCCATGAAACTGAATTTTCCAGTATTTTTATTACAAAAATATATATTTTCTTATGACAAATGAATTATTTAGCTGTTTTTTCTTGTATGTTAGTGACAATTACCTTAATGAAGCTGGCGCCAAAGTCAACTTTTACATGCATTTTGTACAGAATCTAAAAATATGTTTTGCACATGTAGCTCCAGTTGTGCCCACTGTCATTTAGCAATCGAAAAAAACTGTAATATTTCTTCCAATTGTTAATTTAGTTAAAAAAAACAAATAAGTTGCATTAGATTAAAATTAGTAATTAAGCAAATGTTTTTTACATGCATTTGCTGTTTGGCAAAATCAGTTATTTTGCAGAAGTTCAACATGCATAACATTTCTTCTAATTGTTATATTTGAATAAAAAAAAAAAGAAAAAAAAAGAAAAGTTACACAAGTTCAGAATGTGCTGTTTAGTTTCAGTAAAAGCTCTTTTTGTACTGTAAAGGATGTTATGATGGGTGAATTAAGAAAATCAAGCAGCCTAAAATATATTTTTTACTGTAAATGCAAAAGAAGAAGATCTTATTCGGCAGTCGCTTGTGTCGGCGTTTCACTAGTTTTGGATCAGAGCCGGTGTGTGTGTGATATATATGAGTTCTGTCATTAGAACGAGTGTTGGGCTGTAAATCTTGCTCAGATTTCCTCTCTTGCCTCTGTTTCGTGTCAGACTGCATCAGGCTTTATGTGTGCTTGCTAGCGGTGGTTCCTCTCCGCTCCTCTCGTTCATCACGCCTCTCTCTGCTTATTAGCCCAGATTGGCTCAGCAAATCGTATTATTTTACATTTTGCCCCTTTAGATTAAATATCGGCCTGTGGGGAGGTGTGAAACACGTTTTCTTGGAGACTCTCATTCGTGTGTGTGTGTGAGTTTGTGAGTGTGTGTGTGTGAGTGAGTGAGTGAGTGTGTGTATAATATTAATAAACATACAGTATATGTTTTAAATGTATGGATATATTTTTAATATATTTGATTTTAAATACATGTATAATTTTATATAAATTCATTATATAATCATATATATATATCATATATCTTATATCATATATATTTTATGGATGTATATTTTAATATATTTAAATTTAAATATTTATTTTATGTCATATATTTGATTTTAAATACATGTATAATTTTATATAAATTCATTATATAATCATATATATATATCATATATCTTATATCATATATATTTTATGGATGTATATGTTAATATATTTAAATTTAAATATTTTTTATATATTTTATGTCCGTTTTTATATTTCTACATATATCTTTATCTTACAATATTTATAAATATAAATACATTTTGTATTTATAAATGAATTTTTTTATATTTGACAATGGAATTTTTTTGTGTATACAGTGAGAATCGGAACAAATTTTTATGTGTCTTTGGTGTTTGGAGTGTGTTCATTTTGGGCCTTTATTTGACCGTTCTCTTCTGTATATTGTGTGCTACTGTAGTTTGAGATACTCAGATGATCTTCTGTGTGACGGACAGTCAAAGAGAAGGAAAACTAGAACCGAGGGGAAGTTGTGTCATCCTCGACCTTCTGAGGAGAAAGTTGGCCTGCAGACAGCGAGTGTGTGATGAGTTCAGGTCTCTGTCACGTCACATTAACTCAGATTCACTCAAACCTGCAGAAAAGCCCAGAACATCCTAATAACAGAGTGTGTCAGTGACAGGAGATCCGTGCGGTTCAGGGTGCGGCCCAACACGCTTCTAATTATACCAGACCACATGAGTGTGTGTGCGGCAGTTGCACACACACTCATAGCTGTGACGTTCCCGCTCACATTATGGCAGCACACACACTCACTCACTCACTCTCTCACA